GAGAGAGAGAGAGAGAGAGAGAGAGAGAGAGAGAGAAAGAGAGAGAGCGAGAGAAAGAGAGAGAGAGCGATGGGGGAGAAAGAGAGAGAGAGAGATAGAAATGGAGAAAAAGAGATGGGGAGGAAGAAAGAGAGAAAGAGAGGATGAGATAGACGCAAGAGAGTGGGAGAGAGAGAACGAGAGTGAGAGGGACAGAGGAGAGATCGAAGGTAATTAGAAAAGAGTTAGACAGCTAGATAGATAGATAGAGAGAGAGCGAGAGAGAGAGAGAAAGAGAGAGAGAGAGCGATGGGGAGAAAGAGAGAGAGAGATAGAAATGGAGAAAAAGAGATGGGGAGGAAGAAAGAGAAAAAGAGAGGAACAGATAGGCGCAAGAGAGTGGGAGAGAGAGAACGAGAGTGAGAGAGACAGAGGAGAGATCGAAGGTAATTAGAAAAGAGTTAGACAGCTAGATAGATAGATAAATAGAGAGAGAGAGAGTGTGTGAGTGAGAGAGAGTGAGAGAGAGAGAGAGAGAGAGAGAGAGAGAGAGAGAGTTAGTGAGAGAGAAAGGGAATGCTTGTGTATGGGTACATGTAAGCTTGTATAAATTGATTTCTTTAAGGACATAATTAATCTGGGTTGATGCAGATGGCAGTTGTTTTCTTCACTGTGACGTAAACAGGTCTATTGTGGAACACCAATAGCTTATAGTCATACCTTGGAATGGTGTGCTATTCCTCCCAAAACTGAGTACTTTCCTTGGTACCTCTTCGTGATTCTACTTTGGTATGACAAATGTCCTGACGAAGTAGCTGTACCATAAACGGGCTAACACTTTTCACAAAGGATATAGGCCGATGTATCTGGTTCCTCCTGACAGAGCCGGCATGTTTCCGCTACTACTTTACCCATTTCTTCTAGGATGACAGTTAAGAGTAGTCGCTGGTATAGAGGCATTTAATTTTCCAACTCCTGCCTGTTGAGAAAGATTCTTCGTTCTTCGGTTCTGTGAGATTTATATGTTTCATCTTGGCTTGCCTCATACCGGGTTTGTTTGTCCAGCGTCTGAGTTTTTCTTTATCATTTTTCCAGTTCCAACTTAAAACACACTATCCGGAGTAGTTAGTTGTGCTTCTGGTCCCACGGGTTAGAGAGTTGCCCCTTTTTTGGCTAGTTGGTCAGCCTGTTTATTTCCTTCTATCCCTTCATGTCCGGGAACCCACGTTAATGTAATGTTTTGCTTTCTCAGTCACTAGGCACTTTAGGCACTCCCTGACAAGTTTGGCGTTGAAAGCATTCGCATTTTGTGCGTTTATGTTTGCCTGGCTGTCTGAAGTATACATCTGTGCACCTTTCAAATTTTTAATTAACTCCCGTGCACCGAGTTGTATTGCAAGGACATCAGCTCGGAAAATCTTTGGGATTAGAAAAAGTTTACCATTGCATATTTAAATAAGTTTTCCGTTATTTTTTTTCGGTTTCTTTGTTGTGGAAATGATTTTGAAACTTAGGGACTTTTTTCTGATGAATAAATTAATAAACCCACATAATTATAAGAGTTTGGGACATGGATGATGAGCGGGTCGTGTAGATGTCGTGTTTTGTTCCATGTTTAATTTAGATATTTCATCTACGCCCAAAAAAGAAATTTCTCTTCTCTAAGAGTTATCAGGTATATTTTCACCTGTTATTAATGATCATATTTTTTACAATTTGATTCCAAAGGCTTTAAAACACGGATATACAGAGTCGGCCGATAATGTATAACGCTTGTAAAGCGGATCGGCCGATTTGTCAGTCGAGGCGTTTGGCGAAGCACTTTAGTCAAACGGCTACCGGTCTTCAGATTAATCTGGCTGAGTTATTAATTGGAGTGATTCACGGTAACTGTGATTACAGTGTAGACAGGAGTAGGGGAGGATTTCCCTCGAAGTTTATAGCCGGATCGAGCGATCACTGTTATTAGGTAACATTTATATTTCTGAATTGTTCTGACGTCGGTACTTACATAATCATCCTTCATTCAACAAACTAGTGACAAGTCCCGGTTAGGTTTTGTACTTTTTCTTCTTGGGGTCCACCCCTTTAATTGTCTGGGACAACCACTGCAGCCCGAGCGTGAAATCTGAACTGGCCTATTCTTAGCACGTCCTCCTAACCATATTCTCGCTTTCTTTTTAGAGGGATTTTGTTTTTGATTCGTTGATTAAGCATTACTCTTAGAAAACACCATATTTTGACTAAAACATTTATTTACTTTTTTACATAATCTACAAGTTATTTTTACTCCGTATTATTATTATTATTTTTTTTTTGGACAACATTATTCACTTTACTATTAATATATAATATTATTTAAGATATACTTATAAACTTTATTTATTACGCATATATAATTTGCTTGCAACATTCTTATATGCTTTAATTATTATGTGAATAAGACTCGTAATCCTGGGTTCAAATCCAGGAATAGCTTTGGAATTTGGAATTTGATTTGATGAGAGAGAGAGAGAGAGAGANCCAAAAACGAGAGATGAGATGAGAAAGAGAGACAGAAATGAGAGATGAAATGAGAAAGAAAGAGAGAACGGAGAGACATAAATGAGAGATGAGATGAGAAAGAAAGAGAGAAATGAGAGAAAGATATGTGAGATGAGATGAAATGAGAGAGAGAGAGAGTGAGAGAGAGAGACAGAGAGACGTTGTGGTGTGAAACAGTTAGGTTGTATATTTGTAATGCAGACGTGGGAGTAGAATGCCATTACCCTGTCAAAATAAATAATAAATGCACACCAAATAATGAGAAAAACATTAATTATTTTATAACATTAATACGTTATATAATAAATATTACATACAAGTAGAAAAAGAGGAGAGACAGAGATTGAGAGTGTGACAGTCTGATACAGTTTCATACAGTGTGACAGTAAGAGACTGACAACCAGGCATCAGGAATGGGAAAAAGTGTGAGAAAATAACAATATTTTGACTAAAACATTTATTTATTTTACATAATCTACAGGTTTTGTAATAACAATCGAACAAGGGGAAAAGTGTGGTATAACAGATGCAAATCGTCTTAGAGCCGACCTTTCGGCGATTATATCACAACCATTACAAATTATTAATACATTTATCATTCAGTTTATATCGGAAAAGGGTTTGTATCTAGGTCTCTTATAAAACTAAGTTAGATAATTTTTTATTGTCATCGTTTGTAATTCAGTCGGAATTACGTATTTTTAGTTAAATATCATCCAAAAACAAAAGCGTATTAAATAAATGTACGTATTCATGTATAGTTTATATAACAGTTCTAAGAAATCGATATTCTTTGAACACGTTAGCTGGTGTGAAGCTCGTTTTATAATTACACATTAAAATAGAAAATTAAATTGTTGTTTTGGCTTAATTGTTTTAATTCAAAAAACTAAAAAAATTCGTTTTAACTTCTTAGGTCGTGAATAAAATGATTCAATTGCACGGAAGGGACTGTTTTTTCTTCTTCACAGATAAAAACAAGGAGAAGATAAAGTAATGACGAGAGAGAGAGAGAGAGAGGGAGAGAGAGAGGGAGAGAGAGAGAGAGAGAAATGAAAAATTATATGAGAAAGAGAGGGAGAAAGGAGATGAGATTAGTTGAGATGAGAAAGAGAAAGAGAAAGAGAGAGAGAGAGAAATGAGATGAGATTAGTTGAGATGAGAAAGAGAAAAAGAGAGAGAGAGAGAGAGAGAGAAATGAGATGAGTTGAGATGATAAAGAGAGAAACAGAAAAAAGAGATGAGATGAGATGAGAAAGAGAGAGAAAGGAAAAGAGAGAAATGAGATGAGATGAGAAAGCAAGAGAAAAATGAGAGATGAGACGAAATGAGGTGAGAAAGAGAAAAAGAAATGAGAGATGAGATGAGAAAGAGAGAGAAATGACATGAGATGAAAAAGAGAGAGAGAACTGAGAGATGAGATGTGAAAGTAAGAGAAAATTGAGAGATGAGACGAGATGAGATGAGAAAGAGCGAGAGAGAGAGAGTGAGAGAGATGATATAAGATGAGATGATAAAGAGAGAAAGAGAAATGAGAGATGAGACGAGATGAGATGAGAAAGAGAGATAGTAATAAGAGATGAAATAAGAAAGAGAATAGAAGAAGTATAAAAACAAGATGCATCCAATTATATGCATCTTGTAAGTAACAGAAGTCTTTTGATACAAGTCAAGATACAAGTCGTTTAATAAAAATATGTGTATATAAGTAGAGATATTTATAGACAGGGAAATAGGATAAAATAGGAAAGAGTGAGTGAGTGAGTGAGAGAGAGAGAGAGAGAGAGAGAGAGAGAGAGAGAGAGAGAATAAGTCAGTGAGAGAGAGTGAGAAAGGTTTTACTGGAAAGTATAATTGCAAGTTTTTCCGACAGATATTTTAAAACAATAGAAAATAATAATTGTTCTTATTTTTTGTTTTTTTGAACTAAAGAACTGAGTAAAGCTCGACAGCCATCCTTGTCATTGTTCCATGTATTTTCCAAAGGGAGGCCAACCGGTCATTATATCCGAATGTAAAAATAATATGAATAATGAGAAAGAGCGTTAAAACTGTCCTTATCTCCTCCAAAAGAACAATAGGATCCTCAATGTCGCACATTAACATATTATATTAAACTGTAAGCAACCGCGGAGTCGAGGAAGAAGAATTAAGAGAAAAAAAGAAGTAGAATAAAGAGCCCGAAGGCTCGAGTCCCATAATAACAGTCCTATGACCATAATATACAGCCTAGTCATTTACCAAAACATAATTGCCCCAAGTTGAATAATAACCCTCAATCAGGAGTATAATTACCTACCTTATTAGTAAGTATTATATTCATTTAGCCTAGTCTTTCAATTTTACTCCTTGAGACAGTCTGATCCCAGTTCGATAACGTCGAGCAGATATTTTCCTTCTGATACTCCGTATTCTACTTAGACAACCACGGAATCTCCTGCCATATTTATTTGTAAAATATTTTTTTTTGTTTACAGGCCCATTTTGATGAAGTGGCCCATGTGGATAAAGTTGAGTGAAGTGACCTGTGTTTTTATTACTTACTCTGTGTTTCACAGTCAAGTGTGTTTGTGTCATGTTTCAAAAATGGCCGCTTCAAACGACTCGACAATATGATCATACGTAAGTAATTATTGACTTTTTTTAACATTGTATTTTATCCACATTCTTAATCCAGTAAATGTAGCAAACTTCAGAAACTTAATTTTATGCTTCTTAACAATAAAACAAAACGACTTTTTTTAATAAGATTTGCGATAAAAGCTGTTCCAATACAAGGAATCCTGCGAAGGTTTCACATTCTGGAAATATGAGAAATAAATAAATTGTTCCTCATTGCTAAACGTTAGAAAAAAGACTCGAAAATATGGCACCGATGGAAACAAAACAAATATTTACGAAATTATTCCATATAGTTTCTGTCAGTGTTCAATAATTCTTTTTGGAATGAGGTAAGGTAACGAGTTCACGAAAATTAGACCAAAGCGAGCCGGCGTCCCACAAGGGAGCGTTCTTGGTCCCATCCTTTATATCATCAATATTGGTGACCTATCTGCCTACCGCAATACCATCATCACCACCTAGGCGGACGAAGCTCAATTTTGACTCTAACTCGAATCCCATCCAACCGAGAACACTCCATTCTAGTCAAATACTTAGACAGCAGACGGACATGGAATCCTCAAAGAAGACCTAACCAAAAACTTGGACAACTACGAAGACTTCTCGGACCGGAATATGTTTTGACCGTCAACACTAAACTAACTTTTTACAAGACTACTGCAACAAAACATTTAGTCAACTGTGAGATTCTTGCGAAGAAAACATATTTATTTATTATCTCAGATATATAATTAATAGATATTATAATGCTATAGGTATTAAAAATGAGGAATAAGGCCAATTTCAAAGAATACGTGTTAAAAAATATGAATTCATTGAGGATGACTGTGAATTTATATTTTTTTGGAGTTTGATAGTGATCACTCAGAAGTGAAGTGAAGAAGAAACCAAAACAATTCACTTCATAATCTGACGTTCTTCTGGGTTTACAGGGTGTCTTTTTTGATAGCTCGGCTGAATTTCTCTAAAATAGATAACGTCATCGAACACCAAAAAATACGTATTTAATATTTTTAAATTCTTACTGCTTTTTAAAATATTTGTTGTCAGGATAATTTACAGCCAGTACAACTTTAAAATATCGACCGAGAACGCATACTTTGAACCAGTGTTTTAAAGGAATTTCTATACAGAAAATGAGGGAGCAATTAGATTTTAAATTGCTCGAGGAACAAGAAAGTTACTGTACAGAAAGTGAAAAGAAATATCTTAATTTCGTTTCTATTGTTATTTTCAACTTTTAGAGACGTCATTGTTAACAATGCCTGTTGAAAAATATAAAATAACAAAACATTCTATTCGAGAGGGAACTTATTGAACTGAATTTTTTGGTTATATGGAGATCGTCAAATGCGGTCTGGTGTGACTTAGGTTTTAGAAAAACATTTTCTTCATCATGCCAACGTTTTGAACGTTATTGAGATCATCTTCAGGGCTCAATGTGTTGAGAGTGCCGAAACGTTGGCACGATAAAGAAAATGATTCTCTGAAACCTACATCACACCAGACCGCATCCCACGATTTCTGAATAATTATCGATTAACGGTTACTAATCACCACACATTATTAATTATATCAAATCGCAGCCCCCCCGCCGTTGTGCCCAAATACTTAACACGACATGCAAGAATGGCACAATTACACAGAAGACAAACACTTTGAGAAGATGATCTCAATAAAGATCGAAACGTTGGCACAATAAAGAAGATGTTTTTCTGATACCTACATCACACCAGACCGCATCTCACGATTTCTGAATGATAATTCAGATAAATTATTAAAAGTATTTTACATTGTATTTATTTTGTGTGGTGTAGAGTTACCTTAGTTGATGATTATTTGGAGATCGTGAGTGCGGTCTGGTGTGACGTAAGTTTTAAAAAAACATTTTCTTTATCATGCCAATGTTTCGATCTTTATTGGATGGACTGAAAACTGTTTGTTTTCAGTGTAGATGTGTCATTATTGTGTGTCGTGTTGAGAATGCTTATGATGATCTCAATAAAGATCGAAACGTTTTCACGATAAAGAAAATGTTTTTCTAAATCTACGTCACACCAGACCGCATCTGACGATCTCCAAATAATCATTGTATTCATTTTTATTTTTAAATTCATACTATTTTTATACTATTTGCAAAAGACTTCTTGGCCCCTGTCTTTCAGCCTTTCGTGAAAGGGTTCCAGAAATATATTTGAAGAAAGGGCGGGTTCAAACTATGATAAACTTCCCTGAAACCTTTAGGAACTTTTTTTTACAAAAAATATCAAGTTTTACAAAATTTTACTGACTTTCGACTGAAATGTTAGAATTCTGTTTGGGGTTAATTATTTGGCAGTGCTTCGGAGAGTTAGTCCAGATGGCAATGTTCTTAACATTTTTATTTTAAATTTAAATAAACGATAAGTTAGTTAGAGTAATCTATTGTAAATTCGATCTCTTGCAGACGGTATTGGAGTTAGAATGTTGACTAATAAAATAAAGTTTAAATTGCAGTATTTTTGTCCTGAAGCTTGATGTTATCTGGAGAAAAAGACCTTTAACAAATCAGCTTGTCTCAATTGGGGGGGGGGATGTGTCAAATTGTTAATTACGTGGGATTAAAATACGAGAGAAATGTACAACGGGGGGGATAATAAAATAGGAAATACCACCTTGTCAAATGGATTAGCATTAGAGTTTATCACCTGGATATGAAAATAAGTGATAATTTGAGGTGTGTAAGTGTTTTGGGGTCGGAACAATCTAGCCGTTCATAAAGTTGAAGAGTACTGACAGTGGAGGCGAGAAGTCTGTAATTTACAGGTGGTGCCCACTTGTTAGTCCTCCAACGCCGACGATTTAAGATACTTTTCGAGCCGGGGCTTCGGCGGTTTTAAATTCATACCGGATTTGGGTAATTTGAAATGGGAAAAACGCCTAGATTTGACGATTTCGAATCGGAGAAGCCAATAAAGGATTGCTATAAAGCGAAGTTAGACCATTATTTGAGCCCGACAGGTGTTCCTTTGTATCGCTTTCTCATCACAACACTATTCATCAATAACTTCTCTTCTTCAAATGCAGCTCCGAACAAATTGCTTAATAAAAACATGAAGCAATCTAAACCAATAGATTTTATGGCTAAATCAAAGGAACTGATGTACAATATAAATCCATTTATGTTTTAGTGGTCAATTGACCAAGTTATGTTTCTTTCAATTAATTATTCTTTGTATGTAAGGTCTTGGTTGAGATAAAAAAGTCAGTGTCTCGAGGACGATTCGAACCCACAACCTTCGGCTAAATACGCCGCTGCTCTACCACTTGAGCCATCGTGACTTCACCGCCTTAGGCATAACATAAATGGATTAATATTTAATAAGCAAACGAAGTACCATATCACTAAAAGCTCCCCGTGGCCACTTCATAAGTCGCTGAGAATCGAATCCTGATTACACGACATTTGAAAATGGCAAAAACGAGGGAAAATAAGAAAGCTTGTAGGTTGAGATGAAGAGTTGGTGTCCGAGAGGATTGAAGTCACGATAGCTCAAGAGGTAGCGGCGTATTTAGCCGAAGGTCGTGGGTTCAAATCCCCCTCGTGACACTGCCTTTTGCATTTCAACCAACACCTTACATAAAAAGAGTAAGTACAATATAAAATTCAATATTATTATTAGTTATGTTGAAATATTATTATTTTAGTTAATTCACTTTTTCCCTAGTCAGATATTTCAGCCAGTAAGAGTTTGTTAAACCAATGGTTTTCTAAGTTTTTCGTTTTTACTATTGTAATTTTTATAAAATAATAGCCTAGCCTGGCCGACTGCGCTAAATTGTGAGTTATTTCCTTAAATGGATGAACCTTAGTTTGGTCGTAACTTATCATTCTCGACTACTGGTTTTTATGTTCAATCATTAGCTTTGTGAAGATTTTTCCGTTCTTTTATCTACGTACTGTTCAACAATAACGTAAGCTCACTGCTAAACTGTGCAATATTTTTTTAAGTATGCGAGTTAGTTTAGATGTATCTCATCATTCTGGTCTGGTAGTTCATTGCTTTTTCATTCATTAGTGTCGTAAAGATTTTCCCGATCTTTGTATGTACTTTTCAACAATAAAACAGCCCAACTAACTGTTAAATTGTAACTGTTGTATTGTAAAATATTTTTTGATGTTTGCGCGGTTATGAACCTGTAGTTTGCTCATCTCTCATTGTCCTAGCCAGTTGGATTTAGTCAAATCAATAGTTTTGTGAAGTTTTCCAGTTTTTAATAATAGCTTAGATGGGCTGAACCTTATAATTCACCGAACAAATTATTCTGAGATATTTTATTTAGGAATGCAAGTTGATGAACATTAGTTGAAATATTGCTTGCTGTCCATTAGTTTGGTGTTTAAAAAGGTTTTTTCGTTTGTCGAACTTTTTGTAATAACACTTTTAGCTGACTGCTAAATCATCATGAGTTATTTTTTTGAAATATGTAAAGTGAAGACCTGTAGTTTGGTTGTATCTGATTTTCCTCGTCTTCCTATATTGGCTGGTTAATTTCTTTTTCTAAACCATTAACTTAGAACTTAATAAGTACAGAACTTTTCGGTTTCTGTACGAACTTTTCTTTAAAAGCGTAGCCCAGCTGATTGTAAAACTAAGAGATTTTTATTTAAATATGTAAAGTGATGAACTTGTAGTTTGGCCGACTTCAATCATCTTTGTCTGCCTGTATTCGCTGGTTCTAAACAAATTTTGTAAATCGTTAGTTTTGTCAAACATATCCGTTTTTTATTAATCTTATTTAATAATTACACATTATTGATGACTGCTAAATTATTGTGAATTTTTTTTTATTGAAGAAGTTGGTAAACCATATATATTGATTATGTGGTAGGGACATTTTCCCGCCAGGTACTTCGTAATAAAAGCAACAAACTATATAACTAATTTATTATTATTTAAAAAAAAGATTAAGTAACGTTACAATCCAACAAAAGTAGAAAACCGTCTAACAAACTAAAAATTATGCCCCCTACGAGATCAACGAATGCTGTAGTGAGTTAATGCCGGTGCATGATTTTATAATTTCTAAAATAAAAGGTAAAATGTTTTTATTCGTCGTCGGCCGGTTTAAAATTATTCGAAAAATTTACCAAATATACGTATGTGTTTGGATGTTGTATTTATTTAATATATCTTAATAATCAACACAGTTTAATTAGAACGCTTGTTTCTCATTTGATACATTATTTCATTTTTCCGGTTACTGTTTTTCATGTTTTTCATTAGTATTTATTAATATTTATATTTTTTCTCTCAAATTCTGATTTTTAAAACGTGAATATTTATATTTTCCTATCTATAAAACAAAAATTCCTTATTTTTTCGTTGAAGTAAAGGAGGATTAAGGAGTCCCTCCATTCGCGCTAATTAATTACATCCACACTCCCAGAGTATTCGACTGCCCTCGAGGTCTTCCATACCAATAATTTACATACACTCATTCATATTCTTTTCATTCAAGCCAATAAATACAGACAGACAAAACATATATATCTCATTATAATTTTTAAATAAATGGCACTTAATTTTATGTTAATCCATTATATTTCGTAGTCTGATTGACCAAATAACTTCTTTCAATTAATTAATCTATATGTAAGGTATTGGTTGAAATGAAAAAGTTAGTGTAACGAGCGGGATTCGAACCCACGATCTTCGGCTCAATGCGCCGCTGCTCTAACCACTCGAGCTATCGTGACTTCGATCCACTCGGACACGAACTCCCCATTTCAACCTACATTTCGAATTTTCACTCTTTTTTGCCATTTTTTAAATGTCGTGTAATCAGGATTCGATTCTCGGCGACAAATGAAATGGCAACGGAAAGCTCCAAGTCCGATTGACCAAGTAACTTCTTTCAATTAATCAATCTTTTTGTAAGGTGTTGGTTAAAATGAAAATTATGAATTTTATGTTAATGCTGCCAAATTTGAAATATATTTTTCCGTGCTAAAAACTTACACACACACGGAACAAACCGTCGTCATTGACTTTTACCAGTGCGTACATTTAGGGCAGACGGGAGAGAAAACTCACCAACACAACCATTAAAAATTTCATTGGCTGAAACTAGTTTTTTTTTTTTTTTTTTTTTTTTGGCATTGACCTTTTGTCTTCAGCCATGTTTGTTATTATTATTATTTTTTTAAATTTGTTCGTTATAAATTATTTATATGCTGCAACGAGTTCGTTTGACAAAATCGACCAGGGCCCGATAAACATCGAAGTCTTCTGTACATATTAAGAATTTATAATTATAAGGTTTTGCTATTTCGCACTGGTCTATCTCACCGAACATAGTCTTCCTTTCTTCATCATATTTTCTGCAATGCCATACTATATGTTCCGCATTATCTACTAGGTTGCATACGGTACACAGATCACTGTCTTTCTTTCCTATCATGTGTAAGTATGCATTACAGATGCAGTGGTTTGACCGTAGTCTGCCTATTGTAACAATGGCTTGCCTTTCAAACGTTTCTTTGGTGAACCAAGGAACGCATCCGACTTTCGGAAAGATGGATTTATACCATTGTCCAGTGCTTGATGATTTATATCTATTCTGCCACTGTGCAATCGGTCTACTTTTGATAACATTGATGGCATCGTAATGGGATATTTTCAACACTTTTTCTATCTCTGGTTTTTTGGTAGCTGACTTGGCCAAATCGTCGGCTTTCTCATTTCCTTTCAATGAACAGTGGCCTCTTACCCATAAGAATAGAATTTGCTTTCCTTTATACCGGAGATCATTTATGAAACTAGTTCGAGAATGATTTTGGTTAATCAGACTTACCACAGATGTTAGATTATTAAATAAAAAAGTGCGGAAACCAAAAAACATAATTATAACAAAAATCTTTAAGGTACGAATTTGTCTCTTTTCTGTTGATTTATTTAAAAAAAGAGGAAAATTTGACTCCTGTCCTAAAATCTATTAGAAAGTAAATGTAACGCTGTCACCGTAAATCCATAAAACAGTCTACTCTCAATTTTGTACAGATTTTTATTGCCCAACTGTTTGTTGAAAGACCGCTTTACCACAGTAAAAACGAAAGAGAGAGAGGAGAGAGAAAGAGAGAACGGAAAAGGGAAAAACGATAAAAATGTCCAGTTTGACCCAATGCCCTCCATAACGTTCTTGTACCTTGGAAGAGCAAACGGTTCAACACAAATTTAATCGTGCTATTAATTTTCAAAAACATATATTGGCAACGTGGGTCCGAGATTTAAAAAAAATTCTATTCTTTCGATGTCAGTGATTTTAAAAGACGGACAGCCGGCCCTCTGACTGAAGTGATGATGATAGGCCGTTTCTATGTTAGCACCTCTTCGGAATGGGTTTTGACGCACGAACATTATGATTAATGCTGGGGCCATATGTTCTTCAAAACGAATACGTGAACGATTCCTTTGAACATTAAAAAAATGATAAAGAGGAAATACCTTTTTGAAAACATACCTGACATATTTAAAAAAAATCGATTTCTTGTAAACAAATGACATGGTGGGAAATATTTTTATTGTTATTATTAATTTAATAATAAATATGGTCTAAGAATGATAGTTTATAGACTGTCTTAGAACAATTGAACAAAAATATCTATTAGTAGTTCATAACGAAAAACACTAAATATAAAAAATATACAAAATTATATCTATAGGTTTTTTTAACATAGACTAAATAAAAAAAATTAAAAATCAGCTTCAACCGGCAACAGTAATCCAAGAGAGACAATTTTTTAATCGTTAAATTATATTAAACACATTTTATTAAAGAAAAATAATGCTTGAAATTGTTTTTCATATAAGGCAATATATTAATTTTTCTTATCATAAAGGGAAAACGTTCTTTTTGGAAATCAACCATACGCAGATGGGGCAATTGACTCTTGTATTCTTCATTTTCATTTTTAAAAGGGACCCATACATTTCGGCGCATTTATAACTGGGCATTTGCAATTAACGTCTTATCCATGTACATTTTGCGCTAGGGCCGCTGAATAATTTGTTAAATAATAATTTGAAACGACGTGAAACTGCTAAGTTGCGAGAACAGACTGGCCGTCAAGTTATGAAACCGCGGAAGATTAAAAAGGATGTCACACTGATTTGTTGTGAAGAGTCGTGACCAACTCGTTACACGTAAATTCAGCGTTTCTCGACTTAAATAGAACCGCAAGCCGCTTGCAATTTAAAAGTTAAAGATTTATACTAAACGCTTAAATATATTTCAATAAATTATGTTCAAAATAACAATTATAACTGGATTGATTCTATGGTGGTCGCCTATCGGACGTCTCAAAATAAAAGACATTCAGACAAAAAAGTAGGTTAATCATAAACGCAGTTATCACTAAAAAAAATAATAATAATCCAAAATCCATTATATTTAGTGGTCTATTGACCAAATTATTTCTTTCAATTAATTATTCTTTTTATGTAAGGTTTTGGTTGAAATGGAAAAGCTAGTGCCACGAGCCGGATTCGAACCCACGACCTTCGTCTAAATACGCCGCTGCTCTACCACTTGAGCTATCGTGACTTCGATCCACTTGGACACCAAAATGAAAAATCAAAAATGGCCAAATCAAAGGAATTGATGTACAATATAAATCCATTTATGTTTTAGTGGTCAATTGACCATGTTACTTCTTTCAATTTATTATTCTTTTTATGTAAGGTCTTGGTTGAGATAAAAAAGTCAGTGTCACGAGCTGGATTCGAACCTACGACCTTCGGTTAAATGCGCCGCTGTTCTACCACTGGAACCATCGTGACTTTACCGCCTTAGCCGAAGGTCGTAGATTGGAATCCCCCGCTTGACTCTGACTTTTTTTATCCCAACCCAAGACCTTACATAAAAAGAACAATTAATTGAAAGAAGTGACTTGGTCAATTGACCATTAAAACATAAACGGCTTAATATTTAATAAGTAAAAGGAGTATCACTTCACTAACAGCTCCCCGTGGCCACTTCATAAGTCGCTGAGAATCGAATCCTGATTACACGACATTTGAAAATGGCAAAAAGAGGGAAAATTCGAAAGGTTGTAGGTTGGGCTGAGGATTTGGTGTCCGAGTGGATCGAAGTCACGATAGCTCAAGTGGTAGAGCAGCGGTGTATTTAGCCGAAGGTCGTGGGTTCGAATCCCGCTTGTGACACTAGCTTTTTCATTTCAACGAAAACTTTACATAAAATTCACTAGTTTTCGAAATCCGCTTGACCGAGTAACATATATAAGTAATATATAACTAATATATTTCAATTATTTAGGTTTTTAGCTGAGATAAAAAAATCGGTGTCACGAGCGGGATTCGAACCCACGACCTTCGGCTAGATACGCCGCTACTCTACCACCTACGCACGATAGCTCAAGTGGTAGAGTAGCGGCCTATCTAGACGAAGATCGTGGGTTCGAATCCCGCTCGTTGCACTGACTTTTTTATCTCAGCTAAAAACTTACATAAAAAGATTACTTATTCGAAATGTTGTAAAAATTAAGAATTTGAATTGTTACATTTATTACAAACTTTTTTCAGGTCAGGAGCCTGGTTAGGAGAGGAGAGGAATAACCATTTTAAGCAGCATCAAGAAAGGGGTTATTTTCTAGGAAATCATTACAGTAAGTTAATAGTGTAGTTATGGTGTTTTTTCTTTATATGATTGCCAACCGTCCATTTACACGGTTCAGACCTTTTGATTATCGCTGACTGCAGTTTCCGTCAATGATCCGCAGCCAAGAGGAATGATGGACTCTTTGTCTCCCTCTTTCTTCTCACTTATATAAATATATAGCGAGAGCTGGAACGGCCGGACACTGCCATTAGCTAATCTGGTCTTCCTCTAGTTTATGTCTCGCCTCTGACATCACCGTTTCACCAAATCTAGACACATATCTCTCCGTATCAGACGGACTGATCTAATGCCTCCGCTGTTAAACATATGCATCTCCGATGAAAGGGGGAGACGGTGATTTGATTTGCGTCGAACCTCTTAGAAATCCGATTTCAAAACAGCGGAAAGACCCGGTCAAAGGTCAGTTGTTAAATAGAAATCGGACAAACTGTTAACATACGGTTGGAGGGAAACCTCGTGACTCGTAAGCCCGTAGAACTTCCTCTCTCGAATTTAATAACGTTAATTGAAGCCCTCCTAATTCCTACGGTTCACAACTTGATTCATCGAATGATTCAACAGGAAGATCAACTCATACCACCCACCGTTAAATAGATAATCCACCTAAAGGTGTACCATATGTCACGAAACATTTTTATCATCCGTACTTGTAACAGGCAATTAATTATAACTTTCTATAAATTCTGTGTTAACATAAGTTATATATATTATTATTTGATAAAACTTTTACAGAAGTAGAGGTTTTGTATTTTTCTACAACGATTCTGCTGCATATAAAGCATCAATCGGTTTTTATAGGAGAAAAAGGATGCAGATGCTCATGCAATCATTGAACCGCTGCTCATTAAGAGTTTTTATGAGTAAAGGTTAAAAGTTAAAATAAGAGGAACTGCCATGTCACAAATGTCCGTACATATTTCACCTCTCTGCGGAAAATTAAGGTTCATTTTCGTGCTGTGGTCCTTCAAGTTAAATCTTATTGCCCCAGAGGTTTTGAAGGAACAATTTTAAACTTGCTTTAAAATGAAAATATTAATCTGTATACCAGTTATAATTAATGTCTCCATTATATAATATATGATATATTTATGAAAGGTATTGGTCGAGATAAAAAAGTCAGTGCCACGATCAGGATTTGAACCCACGATCTTCGGCTATGATATAAGAACTAATAGTATTTTTCATTATTTGTTTAATTTAATTTTTTAGGGAAAAAGAAATCAAAATAATCTNTTTTTTATTTTTAAATTTTATATTATTTAAATGTTTTTACTTTACAACGCACGTTTTGGAACTTAAAATAAATTTCACTTCAATAAAAATATTTATTTAGAAATCGTGAGATGCGGTCTGGTGTGATGTAGGTTTCAGAGAAACATTTTCTTTATCGGCCAACGTTTCGATCTTTATTGAGATCATCTTCAGGGCTCAAAGTGTTTGTCTTCTGTGTAATTGTGCCATTCTTGCGTGTCTCTCTTGAGTGACACTCTCGACACGACACGCAAGAATGACACAATTACACAGAAGACAAACACTTTGAGCCCTGAAGATGATCTCAATAAAGATAGAAACGTTGGCACGATAAACAAAATATTTCTCTGAAACCTACATCACACCAGACCGCATCTCACGATTTCTAAATAAATATCGATTAACGGTCACTAATCACCACACATTTCAATAAAAATATAATTCACAAGAAAATAATATAATTTAACTTATAATCAAGCGTAAATGGAAAATGGAAAATTAAAGGAAAACATCTAAATACCTTTTGAAATAACCATCTTATTTCCCGGGCGTAGGAAAAGTTATCTTTCTTTCTGATCCTTTGTCCCATCATGTTCCAACAAGGTTGTTTGTGTTTTAATGGTTGATTAAATTTCCCTATGTTCCCTTAAATTTAACTATATTTGTTCTAATTCTATTTTTACACCTTTTTATTTATTTATTATCAACTTAATCAATATTATATTATTACTAATTTATTATTATTTTTAATTCATTCTATTTTTTAATCATCTAGGGGATGTTACACATATGTTAAAATTTTAACTACAAATTAATTAGATGAAGTAGATGTACCCTGTAGAACCCCGGTGAGTCCTATTTCATGAAGGAACTTGATTAGTAGGCCCGATTTCAGTGGTTGAATTTCTTCTACGGTCACATTGTACACCCCAAAGCCAAAGCACTTCTTCCTGCGGGCAAGTGTAGTATCATTTGTTAGTAGGTGTGTTGGTGTCTCCTCTGCCTCTTTGCAGAATCTGCATGTGCAGTCCTGGATTATTCCAATTTTCTTTAAAAGTCCATTTAGTTTCCAGTGTCCTGTTAAGAAGCCTCTTAGGATTCGCAGTTTTTTTCATGCTTCCTTGGTTACATTCCGTTACTTCTTTCCTTCCGAAATTTGTTAGGAGGTTCTTGGATTTTCTTTTTGCTCTTCTGTCTGAGGCACTTATTATAGTGTGGGTTCCTATGTCTCCGAAGTGCTCAGGCCCTATCAGAGGTATAGCAGCTCCTTTCCTTGCAAGGGTTACCGCTTTCTCGTTGCCTTCTACTCCCATGTGTCCTGGGACCCGGCAGAGGCTGACTTTGTTCTGCGTACCTAATAAGTTTAATTTGGTTTTGCAGTTCAGCACTATCTTTGGACTATTGGCTCTCTGTCATGATAGCAATGTTCTTGTTTTTGTACCCTCTATTCAGGCTGAGTTGAGTAATTTCTCGATTGCGTGAATCTCAGCTTGGAAGATACTGGTGTATTTTCCCATGGGTTCTGATTATTTGGTTCCAGGACCGAATACTCCTGCCCCTGTACCTTCTTGTGTTTTAGATCCATCTGTGTACCAAAGGATGGTGCCATTCTTGAAGGAGGTGTTTCCCTCTCGTTCCTATTCTTTTTTGGCACCTAGATTTATTTGGAAGTTTTGATTAAATTCAAACATCCTGTTCATGTCGTCTCTTTGAGCCATGATTATCGGTTGGTCTTTCATTATTTTGTTGCTATCTCTCCATTTTAGTTTTATTCCTGTTGCAGGTTTCTCTTTGATAATACTAATGATGGTTTTCTGTGCTGTCCTCGTTACCATGTGGTGTAGGGGGTTAATCCCAATACTTTTTCCATACTAACTGTGGGACATGTTCTCATTGCTCCCGGTATGCAGATGCATACAAATCTCTGTATTTTTGTGAGGTCTTTTCTTTTAGTTACATGTTCTGCTTTATCGGCTCAGGCTACAGCTCCATACGCAAGTATGGATATCATGGTGTACATCCAAAGCAGGGTTTCCAGTCTACATCCCCAGTTCCTTCCTGCTATTCTTCTGCACACCATCAAAGCTCACGACGCCTTCGTGATAGTAGAGACGATGTTTATCTTAAATGTCAGTATTTTATCTAGTGTGACGACCAGATATTTGACTTCTTTTTTTTAAATCTCTATCAGGGTGTTATTGAGTGTTATTTGCCTCATGTAATCTAATTTTCTTTTCTGTGTAAAAGCGACTGTGGTTGTTTTATTAGAGTTGATTCCTAAATCAGCGGTTTTACACCATTCTTCTGAGATTTTTAGTCCCATGCAATTCAACACCATCTTTGAACTAATGATATTTGAGCTTAGTGCTTTGATGACCGCTTGGCTCTCTGACATGATAACTATGTTCTTGTTTTTGTACCCTTTAATCAAGTTGAATTGAGTACATCTCTCGATAGCGTGGACTTCAGCTTGGAAGATACTGGTTTATTTGACAAAGTAATAAGAGTTAATAATAAAAGTTAATAACTCATAATTTAATAATATTAATTGCACAGGAGCAAAGATAGAAATAGAGAGAGAGCGATAGATAGGTAGACAGATAGATAGAAAAGTATTAATATAGTGATAGACAAACTGAGATAAAGAAAATATGTGATACATAGCAAGAAATAGTGAGATAGAGCGAGAGAGAAAGAGAGAGAGCGAGAGAGAGAGAGAGAGAGAAAGAGAGAGAGAGAGTGAGAGAGAGAGGAGAGAGTGAGAGAGAGAGAGAGTGAGAGAGAGAGAGAGAGTGAGAGAGAGAGGAGAGAGTGAGTGTGAGAGAGCCGTACAAAGAAATGGATGACAACATGATTCGTACTTTGAAACATACAGTTAATTAAATTTACAAAATTAACAACGTTGTTTTATACCTTTGAAAGTAGTGATATAATCAAAGACATTCAAATTCACTTTTTGCCTATTAGACTGTTGTTAAAAAATCTCATATTGCAGTTCTGTGTTGTTTTAGAAGGTTTTAATGCACAAAGCTAAATGGAGAAATGCTTTCATAGAAGTGCATACTGTTTTTGTTTTTTCGTATTGAAAAAATCGTCGTCCACTGAAGACAGGACAGTCATTCCAAGAGGACTTAATCATACTGAAATTTCCTTATACGGCCTGTGGTTAATTAATTAAACGTCTATTCAATAATATCCACGACGTTGTGCATTAAGGGTAAATAAAAATTTGTGGTTTGAGGAGATTGTCAGTTTCCTGGCGCCTCTTGGGTCTCAGATTGGCCGTATCCGCTCCGGCCTCTTTCTGAACGTCCCGCCGGCTTTTCCTGCATTTACATCCAGCCCGCGACGCCCGAGTATATTCTAATTGGGCCACTTAAATTCTGGGGACGGAAAAGGAAAAAAGGCATCCGTTTAAACAGAAAGAAGTGTTCCACCTCTTTGAATCTATTACGGTTTCTACTGCGGCCGTACTGTCACAACAGCTACCTCTTTACTTCGTTAACTTCAGATCGGAACATTTCGATAAATATTTATATGCTTAAAGAGGAGCTACGCGGTATTTCACTTGTGGATACGTTTTGGCGGCTTCTTCCTTGGATCTGCGACGAAAATCTGCAAATCAAAATAGTCTCGGGGTACGGAAGAGGTTGTGCGGTAGCGACTGTCAGCTTTTATATGTTCAAAATAAAGGCCAAACATTTAATTTTACTCTTATCTCAATAAGGAAGATAAA